TAGGCTGCTTGGGGGCCTGGGGGAAGTGGGAGCAGAAGAGGCAACCGGAGGGACTGGGGCTGGTCTGAGGGGGTTTTACCTCTGCATAGAGGAATATGGGCATCCCCAAATGTGGAGTCCTCATGCCCTGCTCAGGACAAAGGATCCTGACCTTTGATGCTCTGTGTACATGCAGATGCTAACAGAGGTCAGCGTGCTATAGACCCCTCCCAGGAGAACAGACAGACCATTCTTCCAGACTGGGTGGCCTTGCCAAAATATGAGTCTGCCACATGTCGGCAGTTGAGTAACTGTGTGTCTAAGGTCCAGCAGGTATATGTGGGCTCCTGAGCTCCCGGGGCCTCAGAGACGTGACAGGGTGATTCATGACTGGTGAGGGGCAAAGCCAGAACTCCTGCTGGGTTATCCCATCTTCCATCCAGGAACATGGTCCTCAGCGAATTGTCAGCTTCTGCTTGATAGCGTGATTTTGGCCTCAATACATTGGGATTTTTCTTAGTGCTTCTAGTTGACGCCTTGCTATGTATTAGATGGGCTTCACTCATGGGCACATGCCCTGAGACCATCCCCTCAGATCAGCCTCGCCTCTCATTCCTGCCTCACCCACCCCTCAAACATAGGCTGGGTTGAGGGGTAGATGAGTGGGGGGATGGACTGATGCGTGAATGAGTGGATGATGGGTGACTGGGTAAGTGGGTGGGTTCTACACTAGGCACTCTTCTCTTTCATAAGACTTCTGTGGTTTCCTTTACAGACTATGAACCTGAGTCTCTAGCTTCAGTCCAGACACTCAAGATAAGCAGGTGGGAGCAGGGCCAACATCACCACCAGGCACAGAGAGCATAGAACCTGGATCCCTGGTGCTTTTAGAGACGACAAAGACATTTTACTTTAATTTCCCTTAAAACCAGAAGGAAGAAAATAATATAATAGCCTGCCCTGTGCATCCACCCCACAGCCCCCTGAGTCTTTTTCCTACCGCCATGCTGTCATCCCCATCTCGCTCGCAGTCCCTCAGAGAGCAGGCACCATACTCCTCCCCATTAGCCAATCAGCAAACCTCATATGTGCTCCCTTCTAGATCCCTTTCCTTCAAATACCTAGTCTGGCCCCTCTCACCTATGATATTTCTGTGATACTCCCAGACTCTGCCCCCACTCATCCAGTACCTGATGGGCACATCTGGCCAACTTGCTCTCCAGGGGCTCCTTTGGGAACAGTCTGGGACCCTTGGCCTCCAGGCCTTGCCTCCGCCCGTGGGCTCAACTTCCTGTTTCCCTGTCTTCTTCAGTGTCTGAGCATGGCTGAGTTGTTGCCTTTGCCCAGGAGCGTCACTCCCTAATATCACTATTCTGTGGCCCCGTTACCACTTGTGTAGCAACTTCTGCATTTGGGAGTCCTTTCCTCCATTGAAAAATTTTAAATTATATTTTATAACCCTATTGATATAAAGACAAATATAATCCATGATAGATATATTATTTAATCTTCATTATTATTATATTATTTTTTTTCCTTCTGGTTTTAAGGGAAATCAAAGTAAAATGTCTTTGTCGTCTCTAAAGGCACCAGGGATCCAGGTTCTATGCTCTCTGTGCCTGGTGGTGATGTTGGCCCTCTCCCACCTGCTTATCTTCAAGACTTACAGCAGCAACCCCTCCTCCAAGAAGCCTCCCTGGATTGCCTTCCTTTCCTGTCAGGGTGTCCTACACCCCAGAACACCAGCACATACCCTGGACCCACAGGTTTCTTACTGTGTTGCTGAGGCCCTGGGCAGACGAGGGTGCTCAGAAGGGCCAAGTGGAGCCCCCCTGGGGATGCTGATTTGGGTGACTTCACTGAGAAGTGATTCTGGCAGGCTGGTACGGAAGCTGAGCTGGAAGTGGCAGTGGCAGAGGGAGGTGGTGTTGACAGAGACTGAGATTTTGAAGAAAGACCTGACCTCTAGGGAGGGGCAGGCAAGGCCAGCAGACATCACTCCCAGTTCTGGGTGAGTGGCAGGAGCCCAGGCCCAGAGTGGCCCTAGTTGCCAAGACCTCCCCATCTCTGCCTGTAGGGACTCTGCCTGTGTCTACACCTGCAAGTAAAGCTGGACCAGGCCATCACATCTCTGGAGCTGGGGGTTTGACTTCCCTCTTTCTGGGCCCCCCTCCTCCAGCCATTTTGCCCCCAGGGTTTCCAGGCAGGTCCAGCTGCTCCCCCCATACCCCAACCCTTCTCTGGCTCTGGCCAGGTTCTCAAAGGTCTACCAGGGAGGGTGGGGCACAGACATGCACATGCCTGGGTGCACACCGAGCCTCTGTCTTGACCCTCGAGTGCCCAGCCTAGGGATTGAGTAGTGGCCACTCAGATTGGTGATGTGGGGATGGGGGTCTAAGGGCATTTACAGCCCAGGTCCAGGGGATGACTAGGTTCCTGGTGCCTGCCCATGTGATAGGAAGCACTCAGATCCCTGGGCACCATCAGGCTGCTCTGAACTGCACGGGAGGGTTCCAGAGCAGAGGACTCACCCCCCTCCCCCAGTCCCAGTGCCTGCAGCACTGAGGCCAAGACTAATAAAACACCCACCTCCCAGGAGACAGCTTTATCTTGTTGATCGGAAGTCTGCCAGCCCAATTTATGATGGGACATAAGCTCTCCAAATCTGAATTTATGCTCTGTAGTATAACGAGAGGTCAGTGGGATTAAAAGTGGGCTTGTGAGAGGGCCATAGGCAGCTCAGTCCTCCGCGCTGCCACAGGAACCTCATGGCCTGAGTCCCTGCACCCAAGGGAGGACAGCACAGCCCAGCAGCAGGACAGGAAAAGGGAGGGCAGGGGAGAGATCAGCCTGAGAAGGGGAAAGAGGATGGGAGGCCAGGCAGGAGAAGCGGACAGAGTGGGGCACGGAGCCTGGGGCTGCTGCTGGCCTGGACCATCAGTGTGACAAAGCAGGCCCTGGGGAAGAAGGGTAAAGACAGGTAGGGATCAGAGGCTTTCATGCAGGGACAGGGGAGCTTTCTCTCGCCACCAAGCCCTGGGCTACCCCTGGCCCTGAGAACGGGTAGGAGATGGCCCTGAGGCAGGCTGAAGGACAGAGTTCCGACCCTGGCCCCGGGGCCCAGCTCAGTCAGACCGACCTCCCTGTCCCCCTCCTCGACACCCTCTGTCTTCAGCACCCCGTGGAGTCCTGGGTGAGGGTGAGAGAGGGGTGTGCTCTGTTTAGGTGGGGCCCTGCACACCCGTCTAGCATGAGACTGACTTTCTGAGCTCAGGTAGACCCTGGCTTCAGAATTTATACAAATAAACGAAATGAGAAGTGCTGGCAGCCCTGATCTGATTACACAGTCATTCATTCTTTGGTCGTTAATAATTTGTGCAATAAAGGGTTTTGGCCGCTCAGTGTGAGGAGGAGGCTGTGGCCCAGCCTTCCCTTGGCGCCGGGCCGCGGGAGCTGGAAACAAAAATTATTAGTTTCTTATCGCTCAGCCTGCCATCGCTCATGCTGCCAGGAGCCTGGCAGGAGCCAGCGGCAGTCCCACCGCCTGCCTTGGCCGGACTCTCAGCTGCCGTTTGTTGGGAGACTCTGGGTGAGGCCCCTCATCGCCCCCCCCCCCAGCCCCTCACTGGTGGGACCCTGAGCCTTCAGGGTCTGCTTAGGGGCTGCAGCTGGCACTGAGGCCTATTCTGGAGCTAGGGGAGCTTTGGGGTTTGAGTTCTTGTGCTCTGAGCCTCAGGCCCTCCCTCTCTGTAAGTGAAGCCGAACCACTGGAGGTCGGTCAAGCAACCGCACCCTCCTGGCCCATGGTATTTGCTCAAAAAGGGCAGTGGTCATTGTGAGCAACACCACGGAGGTCCACAAACCGCTCTCCACCTTGGCCAACCCCCCAGTCAAGGGAAAAGAAAGGTCTGTATCCGGGTGCGTGTCAGCTCCTCTTGGTATGAACGTGCCTTCCTGGGTGGGACTCAGAGCGTGGTTTGGACCAGAGTCAGGTGAAACCTTTCTCTGGCCTTGCTTTGTGGTGTGTCTTCCAGCTTTCTTCATTTCCCTGTTTTCTGTGTGGGCCACAGGAGTAACCAGCCATTTCCTGTCTGGGGTCAGGCTGTGGTGTCCCAGCAGGAACAGGGGTCTCCGCCCCGAGATTGTGCCCATAATTCCTTTTTTTAAAAAAGATTTTATTTATTTATTTGACAGAGAGAGACACAGAGAGAGAGGGAACACAAGCAAGGGGAGTGGGAGAGGGAGAAGCAGGCTTCCCACGGAGCAGGGAGCCCGATGCGGGGCTCGATCCCAGGGCCCTGAGATCATTACCTGAGCCGAAGGCAGACGCTTAACGACTGAGCCACCCAGGCGTCCCTGTGCCCATAATTCCTAAAGTGGCCTCTCTGATTACATCTGATCTGTAATCAATCGGGGATTTCAATATCGAATAAGGGAAATTTTATGACAAATAAACAGAAGAAAACGAGTCCCCTTTGAAAATAAGTGGGCAGACACAAAGGCTCCTATTGCATGATTCCACGTACAGAAACATCCAGAACAAGTAAAAGAATAGGGAGAGAAAGCAGCTTAGGGGTTTCCAGGGTCTGGGCTGGGGGAGAAATGGGCAGGGGGGCTTCTGGTTCGGGGACTCCTTTGGGACACGAGATATTCCGCAGCAATGTTCTGGGGTGTGGTGGCACAGCGTTGGGAATGTACTTATGCTCATCACATGTTCAGTTGAAAACAAGTAATTTTATTTAAAACAAATAATAAACAGTATACAGAACATGAAAATGAACAATATGAACCAGAACAATATGAACCAGAGAGAAAGAATATAGGGGGAGGGGGTGAAACAATCTGGCGGGGCGTCGGGGTCCGGCGATGGAACTAAGGGCAATTGTACAAGGAGCTCTCCCCGCAGGGCTGTGGGCTCTGGATGTGGCTTTGGGAGCCCTGCGGGAGCAGGAGTAGGGGCAGGGGTTGGGATAGGGGCAGGGCCAGGGGCAGGGCCAGGTGTAAGAGCAGGGCCAGGGGCAGGGGCAAGGGGAGGGATAGGATCAGCAGTCGTGGCAGGTGCAGGATCTAGGGCAGGACCTGGGTAAGGAGCAGGAACAGGAGCTCCGGCAGGCGCAGGGGCAGGGGCAGCAGGTCTGGCAGGGGCAGGGGCAGACACAGGAGCAGGAAAAGGAGCAGGAACAGGAGCTCAGGCAGGGGCAGGGGAAGGGGCAGCAGGTCTGGCAGGGGTAGGGTTATGAGCAGGAGCAGGGTCAGGGACAAGAACAGGAGCCCAGGAAGGGGCAGGGGAAGGGGCAGCGAGTCTGGCAGGGGCAGGGACAGGAGCAGGAGAAGGATCAGGAACAGGAGCTCAGGCAGGGGCAGGGGAAGGCGCAGAAGCAGGAGCAGGAACAGGAGCTCAGGCAGGGGCAGGGGCAGGGGAAGGGGCAGTGGCTCTGGCAGGGGCAGGGGAAGGGGTAGGAGGAGGGGCAGGAGCTGGGTTGGAGCAGTGGCAGGTGCAGGATCCAGGGCAGGAGCTGGGTCAGGGGCAGGATCCACGGCAGGAGCTGGGTCAGGGGCAGCTGCCAGTTCTTCCTGGTCTGCGTCAGGCTGTCCGTGGGTGGGTGCTGGGTCACCTGCCTGCTCCTGGTCTCCTGCTGAAGTCGCAGCCAACACCCCTCCGTCCAGAGCTACCGATGGAGTTGGAATGGGCTCTAGCTCCTCAGGTGGTGGAGCAGCTGTGAGAGGAGAAAAGCTCACCCCGTGCCCGCTCTCCGTGGAGACAGAACCCACCCAGGGCCTCCCAGAGAAGCCGCAGCCACGAAGGAGCCCTCCCCGGGGCGTCTCCCCGACCGCAGTCCACCCGCTGGGTGCTCTGCGCCCAGTCGTTGCTCCAGGCCCCACACCAGCCTCTGGGGGCTCGTCCCTGTGGGGCCAGCACCGACCCATCCCCACACACCACAAACACCCAGCCCCAGCCTTCTCACCCTCGGGCTCGGTCTCCGTGGGCTCCGACTCCTAGACCACTGTCCGGTGACCAACCACCTGGGACAGTGGTCTGGGTGGTGTTGGAGGTCTTGCTCGGCAATCCCCAGCACTTGTTTTTGGGGATGCCTGTTGGGTCAACCCCGCCATCAGGGAGGAGGGCATGTCCGCCAGCCGCCTCGGGAGGTCATCCGTGGCCTTCTGCAAAGACAGGGACGGGTAGCCGGCTGGAGGCAGCACAGCCCTGCCTGGCCATCCTCACTGTCCTCCTGCCCAGTCCCCCTGCTGCTCCCAGATCAGACACAGACCTGTGAGTGCACAGCCCTGCACCCGGGATGCAGTGACCCATCCCTGCAGGGCTATCGGGATAAACCCTGGGTAGAAGGGGCAGCGCCCGCACACCCCATCCCACACAGCCAGCCTTGCCCTTGAACATGACCTGCCCACTGGGAATCTGACCCCTCATCAGCCTGCTCCTGCTCAGGGTGGCCCCACCCCGCATGACCCCTCTTTAAACAAACGCGCACACACGCGCACTCACACACAGACACGCACACACACACACACACGGAGGGGAGGGGACCTGGGGCTGCACAGGTGGATTAGACCCTGTGGGCCTGGGTGGCCGGCTCTGGGCCTCCTGGTGTCACCTGTCGGACCTTCCGGCCAAACGGCCAGAGGCGGTGGGGAGCCCTGATCGGACATCCCCAGCGGGGGCCAGCGTTTGCAGGGCGGGCTTTCTTCAGCCTGCAGCATCCAGATTTAGGGAGGCAACAAGCCCACATGTTCATGGTTCGATGATCTCCGACGAAATGAGCTGGGCAGGGGGCTGTCTCTGGAATGTGGGTGTCTGGTTACCGGGGTTCCAAATTCTGTTGGACTCTGTTGTCAGGGAAGTGAGGTCACCACTGCCTGGGGTCCCCTTACCCAACTTCCTCCTCACACAAGACCCCCGCCCCCGAGGGCCCCCTCCCCCAGCTGCTCAATGCTCCCCCTCCCACCATGCCCCATCCATACAGTGACTCCCTCACAGCCCCCCCACAGCCTTCCCAAGGCCTGGGTGCAGCTGGTGTCCCCGCTGTGAGGACACAGAGCTGGCTTCAGACTGGGCTCCTGTGCGTGCCCAGGGCTGTGACCCTGGACAGACCCTGTGCCTCTCAGGGCCTCCCCAGGCTCCCCATCTGCACAGTGGGGTGTTCTGGCTTCTACTCCTAGGGACGCCATCAGGGGTAGGACCTCTACATACATTCCGGACCTGCTATCACAGGAGGCTGGGGCACACTTGGCAATGCAAGGAGGAGCCAGGGGCTGGGCGGGACATGGAGCACAGCTCAGAGGGGCCTGGGTCTGCTCTGGGGTCTGGGCAAGGCCACCCCCCTCCTGCCTGTGTCCCAGCCCCCATGGAAAGGTTGTAATGAACTGATTCTGACCTTGTCCTCTCACAGCACAGACTTCCAGGGGCTTCTATTAGGGTTAGGCTCAGGTCCCAGGGACTCATCTGTGCCCATGTGCTGAGCAGTCCCCACAGTCGCTCCCAGCATCCCCGAATCCTGGTCACAGATCCCTATGGAATCACCTCCCCTCCGGGGTGGATGGCCTGTGTGACCGCACTCTCAGGAAGAGAATGGGGCCAAAGGCTGGGATGTCATTTCCAAGCTGATGGAGGAAAGTCTGTGACTTCTTCTGGTTCCCTCTGTCGTGTGTTCATTCTCTGTCTCCTTCTCTGTTTCTGTCTTTGTCTCTGTGTCTCTCACAGGAGCAGGATCTGTGGACTCCAGGGGTGATGTGAGAAACCTCAGAAGCCTCTCTTGTCCGTGTTTCCCTCTTCTGTCCTGGGGCTCCGTTCCTTCCTAAGGCCTTGTCACCCGGACCAGAGCACTGAATCTGGACCCTCTTCCAAATGGAGGCCCGGAGGCTGCAACAAGGAGGGTCTTGGCCTTGGTCCCCAGGCTAGTGGTCAGTGCTCTGCCACGTTCTGCGTACCCAGGTCCTCAGCCCCCCAAGCCCCCAGTCTGTCCCCTGCTCCGAAGGACCTCGAGGGAGTACAAAGCATTTTCCCAGGACTGGGAGCACAGGGGGTCGGGGATGGAGATCCAAGGCCAACAGGCTCTCCCACAAGCCTGTGGGACCCTAGGGACACTGCATCTCTACAGCCCAAGTGACAGAAAAGTAAGCTGAGGCCTTTGTGCTGTAGCCCCTCTGGACTTGGGGGTGGGTATCTCTTCCTGCTTCCAAGTGCCCAGGTTGGTGATGGACACTGGAACCCAGACCCTGTCCTCTCCCAGTGCCCTGGCAACCGCCCTGGGCCCCTTGGGGACCCCTGACCCTCAGCCTGGCCTGTCTCCCCTCCCCATGCTATGGATCTGTGTCCTTGCCAGGAGTCCTGATGCCCTGCCCCATGGCCCAGCTGTCTGCAACCTGTTTCTTCTTTCCCCCCTGTCACCCACCTCGCTCCCAGGGTTTCCTCCCCTTCTGACCCCCAGTTGGGCAGTCAGAGTGGTGTGTGTGTGGGTGTGGGTGTGTGTGTGGGAGTGGGTGTGCGGGTGCACGTGCCTCTACGTGCCTGGGGATGCCAAGGTCATGTCCCCACATGGGACGGGTGGGTAGTTCTTCCCGACGATCTGAGGGGCTCTCACCCCCAAAGCAAACCTCATGGGAGGGTTGGGACTGGCCTAGGACTGGAGAGCAGCTCCTTGGAATCTGCACCCCTGAGTTGTCCTGGGCCAGTCCCTGCCTCTCTTGACCCAGGTTCCCAACTGTCCCTGAGGGTCGGACGTGGAAAGGCTTGAACGTGGCTGCTCCTCCAGGGGTAGGTGGGGGACAGGTGCACCAGGCTCACAGGCCTCCCCACCAAGAGGGCCAGCCAGGTGTGTCATGGCCAGGTGTGCACAGACGACCTGCCCACAGCTCCTGGACCATGAACCAGCCCTGCGGCGGGTGTGCACGAGACCCATGGCTCCACACCTGACCGGTCCCCCGCGTTCCCTCACCACCTCGGAGACAAGGGCTCTTCTTTGTCCTAGGGCCTGTCATCCTTCAGACAATGAGAACAGAGGGATCCGTATGTAGAGGAGGCCGGCAGGGCGTCCCACGCAACGTCGTGTGCCCATCTCTGCTTTGTCGTCTAGGCTTAGCGGCGGACCCCCACCTACAAAGAGGCCCGCGGGGCAGGGACATTTGTCTGCCCTGTTCCCTGAATTATGGAAAATGTCTAGAAGGGGCTTCCTGTCCATTTGTGGAGTTGATGAAGCCCAGCCAGCACCTTCTAGATGTCTGAGTGGCTCTGGGGCCCCTCTGCCAGCCCCCAGGGATCCCTGGTCTGGCTCCACCCAGGATGGGAGCCCCAGATGGAATGTGAAACCTCCTCACAGCCAGGAATGCGGCTTTGCCCGGGACACAGGACAGCGAGGCTTGGGGCAGAGAGCTCCTTCACGGTGGAGAGGAACCGCCTCAGCCCCAAGCCACCCTCCCCGTGGGCTGGCCACAGGGTCGGGGAGTGGTCCCAACAGGCCCGACGGCAACCCCGTGTGTGGGGCCTGGCCTCGTGAACGCAGGGTTCCCAGGAGTCACCTGAGGTTCGGAGAGGGGACGTGCCAGGCCCGAGACACACAGCCCGCAGGTGAGGGGGAGCCTCCGGGAGGGACGGGGGGCCCTGCTCACCTTGGTGAGCAGCAGGTGTGGGAAGGGCTGGGGAGGCGTTCCTCGGGGAGGTGCTCTGGGAGAGGGGTCACAGGAGAGGGCCTGGCCCGGCTCCACCAGCTTCCTCATGCTGTCAGCACGGACCGCCCACAGCCTCTGGTTCGCCCCCAGCGGCAGGGCCCACTCAGGTTCACGGTGGTGCTGATCTGTGGATAAAGGAGGGACAATTCACAACACAGAAACTGCAAAACTATTCCTGTCTGTGTCCTGAAGTGCAACAGAATATCCAAATTGTTTCGGATCATCTTCCACGTATGTGAAGGGTGATTTTGTACCTGGCCAAGGATGGGGCTGGACCGGGTGTTTGTGTCTGTGTGTGAAGGATCAGGTGTGTGTGTGTGTGTTTGAAGGACTGGGTGTGTGTGTGTGTGTTTGGCGTGTGTGTCTGTGTGTGTGTGTCTGTGACGGGAGCAGCCCAGACCCCTTGGGTTGAGATCATGGCCACGTAAGGGGCACAGCCATCGTGGCACCCCGGGTCGTCAGTGTCCCGGATGGCGTCGGGGCAGGAGACCCTCCAGGCACTCCCCGAGCCCGGTCCTGGAGCGCCGTCGTCCCCACACTCCCCCTGAGGAACTTCATTAGCGTGGCTCAGCGTGGCCGGTCGGCTCCCTCCTTTTGGGTGGACGTGGCGCAGGTGCACTCTGGGTGGGCGGGGCCCTCCCACCAACGGTGGGTCGGAGGCAGGTGGATCCTGCGCAGGCACACACGGCCCAGCAGACGGCGCTTGCGCGGGACCCCACCTGCCAGCAGGCCTGAGCAACCCCGAGGGGCTGGCTGTTGCCTTGGTCCTCCTTGTCCCGATCTCCACTGCCTGCTCAGTGACCCTCACGTCCTCTTAGGCCGGAGGCCAGCCCCAGTCCCGCCAGGGAGGGCCGCTGGACTGACTGGACGTGGAGACCTGGGGACTAGAGAGAAATGAAATATATGAAATATACCCCCGCTGCCGAAATGGCCCCCACGTTCCACTTCAGTGTTCGTCTCAGTGCATGGCGGGGGGGGGTCAGGGGAGGGTGACGGGGACAAGTGTGGCAGGGAGGAGGTCAGGCCGCCTTTTCCTCCTCGACATCCCCTCCCCCTGTCTTCCTGGCAGCAGCCCCTCTCCCCAAAATCTGGCACTCAAACACCTTCATCTCCCTGCTTTCAACCCCAACCCATCCTCCTGAGGTGGGAGTCACTGACCCCATCTCCAAAGTAGAAAACGGAGGTCCCAGGAGTTCCCACAGGAGCTTGCCAGTCACAGGGCTGTGACATGGCCCTGCTGTCGGTTTGAACCCAGCTCAATCTGACCCAAAGCCTGAGCTTACAGAGGAGCCGGAGGAAGGAGCCTTTGAGCCCAGGCTTGGAGGTGAGGCCATCCTGGATGGGGGTCATAGGGAGGGAGGGCAGGAGTTCTGAGGGGCAAATTCCTGCCGGGCTCCCTGGGGGACGAAGGCCCTACAGAGGCTGGAGTGGGCTGAGGGGTGCACACTGGGGAGCATGTCTAGACCAGATCACGCAGGGCTCTCTGGATATTGGGCAAGGAGTCAGGGGACACTGCGGGTTGGGGGGTTCAGGGGACACAATCCGGGCAGTCTTACAAGAGCCACAGCTTCGTAGATTTAGAAGGAGCTTGGTGGGCATGTTATTGTCCCCACCCAAGCATGGATCACCAAGCAAGCACCAGCCGGAGGTGAGGAGGCTGCCGCAGTTTCCTCCTCTGTAGAGTGGGGGCCGTGGTGGTCGTCTGAGTCCTTCCAGGCCTGGGCATGCTGCCTGGAAGGTCCAGAGGTGGCTTCTTGTCAGAGTAGCTAGCTGTTCCAGTGAGATCAGTACTCAGAGACGTCTGAGTCAGGAGACCAAAGGGACGCCCCACGTGCCCAGTTCAGCAGGATGCTCTTGGACATGGTGCCGATCTTCATGTCCAGGCTGATGGGGTTGAGGCAGCGGCGCCCACCTGCTGCATGGAGAGCGGCAGGGAGGAGCCGTGGTTGCAGACCCCGAGACACGGTGCTCGTGTGAGTCCGAGGCTCCCACAGATGTGATGGAGGCTGAGGAGAGGGAGGTGCTGACAGAGGCTGAGATGATGCCTGAGGTCTCCAGCGACGACTGGGAGGTCAACTCCGGAACTTGAGGAACGGCAAGGCCAGCAGAAACACCAGACTGTGTAAGGCAACCCCGGTCAGCATCTAGCCCAGAAGCTTCTAGAGACTGAGTCTTCTTGGCCCCTTGTGGCTGTGGAGTGGGGACCCAGGCTCCAGGAAGGGATGTCTGCCAGGGAGAAAGGGTGGGACAGTCACCTCCTTTTCCTGGCCATCAGGGATCCTGGGACAAAACCCACACTAATGTCGTCCACATCTCCATCGGGCTGGAGGAGCATGGAGAGCGGGTAGGCGATGTCCCTGCTGCACAGATAGGGGCTGCATCTGAGCTGGTCCCAGGACTTGGAGTGACCGCTCCTTTTGGTCTTGGGTGTTGTGTTGGGAGTGTGGTGGCAGAATGGAAGGGCTGACTTTGCATTGATCCGACATCCTGGGTGAATGGGTGCTCTAGGGTGTCCATGGGCACAGGTGGCTGTGAGCCATACATGGGAAGGTGTGAAGGAAGCACACAGAAGACAGTGCCCTGAGCTATGCAGGTTTTCTGCTCATGGGCAGTGCTCCTTGGCAAAATTCAGCTAGTCTGCTTGTTCCTAGAGCACAGAAGGCCCCTAAGGTCGTGAGTGGTTCATGGGAAGACAGGTCAGTCTGTTGCTGGGCATCATGCCTGGCAGGAGGAGAGCTTCAGCCTGAAATGAACGTCTGGGGGTGACCTGGAATGCCAGGTAGGGTAGAAATTGCCAAGGTAGCCTGATCCACTCCAGTCTGTATTGCTTCTCTACCCAACAACCCAGACCTAGACAATGGCCCTCTGGCTGGCTGGCATCTGGAACGGTTAGAATGTTCCTCTGGTTCAGTCGAAGGAGAAGATCAAAGTTAGTAGAGCAAAGGAAACTATGAAGATTAGGGCAGAGATACATGGAAGAGAAGAGCACGTGAGAAAAATCAGTGAAAACAACAGTTCTTTCTTTTGCAGATTTACCAAAATTGACAAAGAGACAAAAATGGAACCACTTTATACCAACCAATTGGCTCCCTGAGATGAAGCAGATCATTCTGAGAAGCACACAAACTACCAAAGTGACTCCAGAAGAAATGGAAACCCTGAGCAGACCTGTAATAAGTAAATAGACTGAAGCAGTCATGAGAACTTCCCAAGAATGAAAAGTCCAGAACCTGATGCTTTCCCTGGTGATTTGTCCCACACGTTTAAAGAAGACAGAATACCAATCCTTCTGAAAGTCTGAAAAAAGTACAAGAGGAGGGAACACTTCCCACGTCCCCCTAGAATGCCAGCATTGTCCCGATTCCAAAGACTGACAAAGACCTTACAAGAAAAGACAGTTGCAGGCCAAAATCCATTATGAAGAGCGAGGCAAAAATCCTCAACAGAATTCTAGCAGATAGAATCTAGCAGCACATTGACAGGACTCTACATCATGACCAAGTGTGATTTACACCAGGAATGCAAAGGCTGTTCAACGTAGCTAACCAGTGTCCTAGACCACATCCAGAAGAAACATGATCATGTCAATTGTTGTAGGATAAGCTTTGACAAAATCCAAACCTTTTCATAACAAGTGTTCTCAATAAAATAGAAATAGAAGATTCAATTGTGGTAAAGGAGAGGTGCCTGGGTGGCTCAGTGGGTTGAGTGTCCGACTCTTGGTTTGGGCTCAGGTCATGATCTCAAGAGTCTTCAGATTGAGCTCCAGGGAGGGCTCTGCACTCGGTTGGGAGTCTGCTTGGAGATTCTCTCCCTCTGCCCCTCCCCACTCTTGGGCTTGCATGCTCTCAAATAAATAAATAAATAAATAAATAAATAAATAAATAACTCTTTAAAAATTATGATAAAGGATATTTATGAAAAATAACTCATATGTATATCATCCTCTGTGGTGAAAGACTGAGAGTTTTCTCCTTAAAATCCCCAAAAAGTCAAGGATGCCCATGTCCACCTCTTCATTTCCATATTGTCATGGAAGTTTGGTCAGAGAAATTATACAAGATTAGTTACTAAAAGCTCACAAATGGAAAGGAAGAAGAAAAAGTTTATTTATATAGGATATGATCTTCTATGCAAATAATCCTAAGAACTGGAAAAACTCTGTACGAGATTATAATATTTCCCGAAAGGTATGAGCAGAGAAGACCAACACATATGGATCAATGGGATAGTGCTGAGAATCAAGGAATACATACATGTACAGTCAGTTTTTTTTGAGCACGGAGACCAAGATCACTCAATGAGGCAAAAACAGTGTATGCAACAAACGGTGTTGAGAAACCGGATATCCACATACGATGGAGTGAAGTCAGAGCATTCCCTTCCACCCTATAAAAAATGAACTCCACATGGATCCAAGAATGAACTTTAAGAATGAAAATTCTTAACACTCAGAAGGAAGCTAAGAGCACCTAGGGGCAGATCTTCCTTCCCTTGGATTTGGCAATATGGTGTCTCTTGTATGGCACCCGAAGCCCAAGCAACAACAGAGAAAACAGAGACACTGGACTTCAACGTTGCTAAAAACTTTTGTGAATGAAAGGGTAATCTCAAGAGGATGTAAAGAAACCCAAAGAATGGTAGGAAATATTTGCAAATCTCATACGAGTCTTGCATCTAGAATGTGTACAAAACTCCTCCAACTTAAGAACCTAAGCAACCCTACTGAAAATAATAGACATTTCTCCAAAGAAGATAGTCAGACGACCCAGTGAGCACATGGGGCGATTTTCCTCATGAGATCGTAGGAAATGCAAGCCAACAGCACAGTGACATGCCTTCCCCCACCCAGGAGGAGGGGCTCCAAGATCGGGTCAACCTTCCTTTTGTAAATTTCCACGAAAGGAAGCAGGCAGAATCCTAGAGATGTTCTTCCAGTGGTGACCCCTGTGACGCTCCTGGATCCGAGTGGTGCCAAGGTGGACTGCAGCCAGCGCTACAGTGTGCTGCCCAGATGCGCTCCTTGGGACGAAGGCTCTCGTTTCCTCCGTGGCCGGGAGTGCTAGCTGCTGATGGCTCAGAGAAGTCCCTCTGAGGAGCTGCCTGCAGCTGCAGGGCCCCCCTCCCAGGGGGCAGCCGTGCAATGACTGGTTTGTGCACAGTGCAAAGGCTCCACCCTCTGGTCTCAATTCAGGATCTCTCTCCAGGTGGCCCCTCACCGTTCAACCTCTCCTCCCCAAGAAGCTGCCTGCACACAAGGATCAGCCATGCCCAAGACTCCCCTGTTACCCAGCGCTCCAATCTTTGTCTCCCTGCTGCAGCTGTGATGCTCCCTCTCCCTGGAGCCACTCCTTGCATTTTGTCCCATCTTGCCCGCTCGCCTTAAACTACAGTCACAGGTCTCATCAATTGTCCCGACCCCTCCACGCCTCTCAGTGAACGCTGCTCATTCATTGTCTCATCCTTTTCCAAGAGTGTGCTCACAGACACAGCAGTAAGAGCTCCGTAATCAAACATTTTATACATGGGAGAAGTCATAAATAATAGAACAACAGCAGCATGCATTCCCTCGGCCATCAGAAATAAAGCATAATCAAAAAACTGAAGCCCCTTGACTTCCTTACTTACTGATCAAAGTCCCCACCAATACCCAGAGGCAACCACTCTCCTGAATTTAGTGTTTAGCATTCTTTTTTACTCTAAAAGAATGGAATTAGGGGTGCCTGGGTGCCTCAGTCGTTAAGCATCTGCCTTCGGCTCAGGTCATGATCCCAGGGTCCTGGGATCGAGCCCCACATCCGGCTCCCTCTTCCGGGGGAAGCCTGCTTCTCCCTCTCCCACTCCCCCTGCTGGTGTTTCCTCTCTGGTTGTCTCTCTCTCTCTCTCTGTCAAATGAATAAATAAAATCTTAAAAAAAAAAAAAAAGAATGGAATTAAATAGTGCATGCATCCATATTCAACTTTTTTTTCATTTAACCTTGTGAAAATCATTTGTGTTGATATATGTAACTAATTTATTCATTTTGTTACCATATAGCATCCTATTGGATAGCTATGTATCATTTACCAATTCTCCTAGAGATGACTTGATGACCTTCCCCGCTGCCAGCAAAAGCAGCATGTTGCAGTGAATGTTCTTGTCTTTGCACACTTGGGCAAGCTGCTCTAGGGTACACACCAAGGGTGGAATTGCTGGGTTGTAGAGTATATGCATCCTTAACTACTAGAAATTGCTAGATGGCTGTTGAGAATCACTAAATCAATTTATACTCCCACCAGCAGTGAATCAGTTCATTCTGCACCGCTCACAAATCCACATCCTTGTCAATTTTGGCATTGACAGATTTTTAAGTTTTAGCCCATCTGTCATGTGTGAAATGGCATGTCCTTGGATTTAATTTCCATTAGCTTAAATCTTAGTGAAAGTGACCTTCTTGTTTGTTGGGGCACCTGGGCAGCTCATTAAGCATTTCCTTTGGCTCAGGTCATGATCCTGGGGTACTGGCATCGGGCCCTGCGTCAGGCTACCAGCTCAGCGGGGAGTTTGCTTCTCCCTCTCCCTTTCCCCCCTCCCCCTCTCGTGCTCTCTCTCTCTCTCTAATAAATTTAAAAAAATTATTTGTTGCACAGGGGTGCCTGGGTGGTTTAGTCTGTTGAACTTCTGACTCTTGATTTTGGTTCAGGTCATTATCTCGGGGTCATAGTTTTGAGCCCTGTGTGGGCTCTGCGCGCTCAGCGGGGAGTTGGCTTCTTCCTCTCCCTCCTCATCTGCCACCATCCCCCATCCCCTCTCTCAAATAAATAAACAAATCTTTTAAAAATTATTTGTTGCACAAATAAATACAAAGTGCTCCACTCATTCGTTCTGGTTCATGCATCTGTCCTGTTTGATGCCTGCAGAGATCCCATTCCTAGACTGTACATATGTTATACTCACTTTATACACCTGGCCTTCTACCAAAGGCTTCTTTTACATCCTATCCTTACCAAGCTCCCCAGCCAAAATCCATTTCTGGGGATTGTTTCTTCTTGGCTTTGTGTTTTGATTATGTTGCCATGATGCTGACCTATTCCTGTGACTTTGCCCTGGCAGATCCTCCCATCTCCTTGTCTGGAGACTAATCTGTCCTCTAACCTCGTGCTTGGCTGAGGTCTTACATCCGTGACCTTGACCCAAGTCATCCTAAACCAATCATAAACGTAGGCTGCAAACAGGCTGACCCCTT